ATTCCACCGACTTTGTTAATTCAGGTCCACTTTGTGATATTTTTTCTTGGAAGAAGAGTAAATGAGTGGTAAATTCATCTTTAGATGCAATACGAAAGTAATATTTTCCATATAGAATCATTATGCTACAACTCATGAGGTCCCTTAAGAGCTTGTGTGCAGATCTGGGCCTTCCACATTTGCCCATAGATCATATGGACTTACATTTTCAAGCTTTTTTGGAAGATGTCAAAAAACAGAAATGAAAAATGTCTGCCAGTAGCATAAAAATTTGGGTGATATTTGCTGTTTCAATAGCAAATTGAATTTAAGAGAAGTCTGTTTGTGGGGAATAACACCTGTAAGTCAGTAATATTTTTCTTATTTTTTGGAAAGACATAATTTCTGTTTCATCTGTTCTTCATCATTCTCTTTATTCTCTGCACATATGTGTTTTCCAATGAACTGTTCTCCATATGTAGGATAGTGCTTGATGTACAGAAAAATAGGGATTAAGAATATTTTAGTAAAGTGCAGAGGAAAGTGGAAATTCTGCTAATAATCATGTTAGTTTTAGAAAATATCAAAATTCTTAAAGATTATGCTTTGTAGACCTCAAAAAATGTATAGAACACAATTGTTTCTTTAGAATCAGGGAAAAATATATATATAACAGATTATATTTATTGAATTAGTAAGTGGCTTAAAATATATATTTTTAGACCAGGGCAAGCATTCTGTAGTCACAGAAAAGTGACATAAAGTGACAGTATTTATGTCTATTATTTGTGCATAAATTAATTGCACTGCCTTTTGCAGTTCATAACTTGTTTATATTTAAATTGTCAAGCTACATGCTAGCATTTTTCTTCTGGAATGATTGTATACGTATAGTAAGATCTTTTTATATAAGGATTATTTAATGTCTTCTAAAATGTATGTTTATATTTTTATATATGTAGAAATGTTTATGCATATTTAGATTGCTTGTGATTTTTTGATTCTGTCTTCTTGCAAAGAACTTTAATTGAATTCAAAGCAGAAAAGTCACTAAAATGTACACAAGCTGGATCCAGTGCCATAGTATTACTGTTGAAAACAGTCATGTTGGATAAAAGTGTATTAGCATGCAAAGACACAACTGGATGTCTCCACATCCAGTTTAGGTTTTCCAGTTTCACTACAAAAGCCAACATAGAAATATGTTGGCTATTTAAATTGCAGAAGTGTTGTGTGTATATCATCCACAACATTGCTGGATTCTATAAATGTTCTTACAAGCTATTGAGATCAAGTAGTTAAAGGTTTTGGTGTACTGGTACTTCTGTTGATTTGCATTGTTCTACAGGATCAGGCTCTGTGGTAATAGCTATATATAGTGCAATGAGAAAGATTATAAAAGAATAATCAAAGTAATGGAAATAAAAGAGCTGGTTCAGATTTAGGACTAATTACAATGACTGTAGTTGTTCTACACCTAGTACTATTATCAGATCAGGAATTTATATACAAACTCTCAGAGATCTCATTTCATGTGTCTGTCCCAATTGCTGTACACTGTTCCATGTGACTGCTTTGCATCAGTGGAGCGTGAAGCATCTGGGATGCATCTTTAATACAATCAGTGTTTTGGCAGGGTGGCAACAGATAGCTTACAAGTTCCTCACTCGGGTACTGGTAGTGCTGTAGCTACATAAGAAACCCCTTGCTGCATGGTATTAAGTTGATTATTTTATTTCAGTAAGTTAATTGCTTTTATCCCCTTTTGTCCTTTCCACCTTTCTACTGTGTCGCAGTCTGAAAAAATCTGTCATGAGCAAGAGGAAAAAAAATTAAAATTGAAAAGCTTAGATGTGCTCTGAGACAATGGGGCTGTTCCAGTGCTGAGTACTGTACGGCACATTGTTAAACTGATTCTTAAATATATTAAAAAACAAACACTAAAAACAATGTACTACTGCCAGTGATCATGCAGAGTATAATGAAACAATCTGGCTTAGCAATTATTTTTAAAAAAATATTACATATATAATCATTTTCAAGCTACCACATTCAGTAGTTGATGCTTATTGTCCTACACAGTCATCCTTCAACTAACTGTTTTTCTGCATATTTCATGCTTTTGTTTTTTAATTTCCTCTTCATTTCGTTTTTTCAAGAAGGTGATAAAGAAGTGTGAGTCTTTTCAAAACGTGTCACATGTTGATTGAAGCTGTCTATTTTCCAATTCAAAATACATTTTTAACACCTTCAAGATACCAGAAATAAAAGGTTTATATTAAATCTATATATTGATACTGTGTTCTTTGTAAAGAAGGGACAAAGCTGTCACTAGCTGACTGAGTGTGTTTAAGAAATGAGAATTTGAGGGAAGAGTCACTTCAAGCTTAACCCAGACCAATGAAGCTATGTGAGTAAAAAATAGATGTAATTTATAAATTGGAAGAGACCATTATTGTTTCTCTTATCAAGGTTATTTGTGTTCTGACTTTCAAAATGTTGCCTCAAAGACTCAGTGTCTGCCTCCCAGGAATTTCCCCGTGTCTGTCCAAGGCTGAGATAGATTACAGAAATAGGATAATTTATCTTTATGTCAAAACAAATGTATATATTTTACATATTACATTTTCCATTTTAAGAGTGGCTAAAGGTCAAAGTCATATAAAAAATCAATAGATAAAGTGCTATTGAATAAAACCTTTTTAATTTACTTTTCATTAAAATTTTAAACCCAATTTTGCAGTACCTACAAAATATATCATAGAATTTAATCATTAAGAATATTTAAGAATTTAGAAATCATACTTAGGATTTCTGGGAGACAGTTGTTTTTCCCACTGGAATGTATGTTTGTCAGAATATTTCTTTCCTTTTTCACAGAACAGGGAACATTACACAATCTATCACATACTGAGAAAAAAAAAAAGTTGATTTAAAACCAGTACTTACAGGTGATAAGACACTTTAATCTCCCTTCTCTGCTTTTTACTCCTGCTCTAGGTGGAGCTACAGATCTGCATGTGAAGTCTTTAGGAAGAAGATATTTATCACTTTTTGTTAGCGTTTAATTGATATCTTGTTTTTTCCACTTCTGTTTCTGGTGAACCATTGTTTTTTTCTTAATGACTAAAAGGGAAAAAAATTATTTTGACTAGTTTAATAAAAATGGGAGGAAAAATAAAGACATTTTCATAGTTTAAATTCTGGAGCACCTACAGAATATTGAAGAGTTTTTAGAGTAATTTTTGAAGAAAAAAAATAGAAAAAATAGACAACTATGCTTAGATTTGAAAGGTTATCAAGATGCAATACTTACTATATGTGTATGCAGTTTAAAAGCAGATAACTTTTGAGTCAAATATTTTTAGGCTCCCTGATCATTTTAGATCTTTACAAGGATCATTTTTCTTTCTTTGTTTACCTAATTTCAGATGTTATCACTTTGTAGATTATAAGAAACTTTATTAGATTCTATTTTTCTAAGAGAATTTTTTTAATTATTTCTTTTTCAGTGTGGTGGGGTTCGTTGGTTGGAGCTTTTTCCCCCTAAGTGGAAAGTCAAGCCTCTGCTTTAAAAGTCCTTGCACTGATGGCTTAATTTCCTTCCTTCCTTACTGCAAAACATCAAAGAAACAGAAGAATATTTTTGCCTGAATGTCTGTAGGCAGTGGTAGAACATTCCTGAACACTACCTATTGAACCTGAGTTTTCTTTACTCACTCAGTCATTAATTTAAATTAAATTAAATTTCAAAAATTTTCAGAGAATCTGGCTGAGAGGCCTCCAGAAAGAGGTGTGTGTTGCATGTTCCAATGTAATGATGCTGTCTTCACTAAAGTTAAAGAGGACAAAAAACCCTTTGCTTTTGGGATGGAATAGATTCCTTCCTGATTTCTTGTTTTCTTTTTTCATATGCTTCTTTCTTCAATGAAGTATTGCCTCATGATTGCAAGAATAGTAAGGAAAAAAATGAATACTTTAGCAAAAGAAATTTCCCCACAATCCCAAAAAGATTGCCAGAGATATAAATGACATATGAAAGAAAATCCGCATGAACCTCTTGGTTTCACCAACTGTGTGTCTGAGTTCAAAGGGAAGAATTATGAAATTTGCTGATTTTAATTTCTGTTTATGAAATGATATCATAGAAAGGAATTATCTTTCCCTTGTTTTTAATTCCATGTTTCCAAGTGGGAATATATTCAGAAACAGTAGAAAAAACATTAAAATTTACTTCTGAAACTATGATGGAATAGTTCGATTACAGCAGAATAGGAAAATGAAAGCTGTTTCTAAAGGTTTGTTTAAAACATGTCCTTAGATATCCTCTTTTTCTTTTTGGTAAATATTTTACAGTCTTTTGTTGTCTGTGTGATGCTCTGTAGTTCAGAAAAAAGAAGATTCTACATCCTCAGAAGATAATTTGTACTTAACAAACACCACTTTCAAATTATGAAACTCATTTTTCCTGAAATGTATCTTCAGATTCAGAAAGCATTTTCTCCACACACTTACAGTCAGAATAGCATCCTTTTTTTCAAAAATGGAAATATATAAATATATATTTTTGCAAGCAATTTTAAATAATTCTAACCAATTCTAGCAAATATTTCTATAAATAGTCTTTAACAATCTTTAAACAGAATTGCACTAAGGTGCAAAACGCCTTTCCTAAAAACAAAAAGTATCATAAAATGCAACTTAAAGAATTTGTTTCTATTCATCATGTAATTTAGGAAGTAAGTTGCTTTATAAGAGGAAAATGTTTTACAAATTTTTTTTCATCAGTTGGCATGTTTTTATAATCCACTTATTTAACTGCTCAACATAAGTCAATACAAGCTAAAGAATGCAATAATTATCTTTTATTTGAAGTACTACAAAAATATGTTCAATGCTCACATGAAACCAAGAGCTAAGAATTCTATTTCTGGATTTTTTATTGATTTCCTGCATGTTTTTGCATGAATAACGCTTCTGTTCTGCAGAGTGCAGCCCTGCTCCTTACATGCTCCTTACTTTGCTTACATTGACTATTTGTGAAATGAAAGTTCTAGTCTTTCTAATGTTTGAAAGCTGTAAAAGATATAAATTCTGTCACTTGGAGTATTTTATTTTATGTAATGTAAAACAGTACTCAAAGGCAACATGATGGCTCTTAAGAAGTATCCAGCAAGTAGTGGATCTGGAAGTCTGAACAGATCAGCATGGATGACATAGACAATACTAAATGCAGCAATAGTAACATTCAGAATTTCAACATATCCATGTCTTTGCATTCAAGAATTTTCAGACTCCTGAAATTTCCATTTAAAGAAATACTGCTTTCCTAACTGGCTTAATTCCACTAAAAATGATGAGTCAAATTATAATTACTGCCACACAAACTTTGATTCCATGCAAGGAAAATGTTATGTTTTCAGTCAGTCACCAAGCTGATGTGACAACTCATACAATAAAAGGCAACTTAATTAAAATTGAAAAAAAAAAAAAAGGAGACCCATTAGACATTAATACTATTGTATCGCTCAGAAAAGAGTTAGGAAATAAACTTGGATAAAAATGGTTTAATCTTAGAAAACAGTCAGTTTATTCATTTAGACTATGGAAGTTTTCTCACAGGCCTCAGAAGAACATATGTGGATTTTAGCTGAGTTAATCCAGAGGAAATGAAATCTTTAATCTTTTCAAAGATTATAATGTTCCTTTTTGCTTTGTAGCCACTAATACCAGGAGACAGAGGAGGTAGTTACGACCTAGCTGATAGACATATGTTGTAGCAAAGCTCATTAGTTCTGTTGTCATTAGCAGAAAGGTTTATTACTTAGGGGTTGATCCGCAGAGAAAGAAAAGCTGCAAGAAAATTACTGAATGTTGTGTTGCATTTTGTATGACTTGAAACTTCTTTGACATATGATTGGGCATCTGGCTGATGGTTTCTAGGAGCTATTGGGCTATCCCAGCAGTTCCAAAATAAATGTCACTACTCAGTCTGTAAGTTTCATCCCTGTTATAACAGAAGAGAGTATTTGCAGGAGTAGGACACAGTCCAGGTTTCTGTGCAGCTCTTTTCCTTAGGAAGAACTTCTGGTCTTTACTCCAAGCTGGCAGAAAGACCACAAATATCTTCCCTTGCTCTGGTCAGCCCAGGGAGTGCAGAAGAATTAATTCATTTCCATTTGAGGAAGAGGGAAGGCTGTGGCATTGTGATGCAAAAAACCCCACTACGAAACTTTAGAAAGGCATCATAATTTAACTAGAATTAACTGTAATATACTGATCTGCTGCTACTGCCGTATGCTCAGATTTGTATAGTATATCCATATCATGTTGCAATAGATAGTGCAGTTTGCTTTGACTGTCTTGGAAGAAGGCACAAAATGATAATTGCAACTATCTGTTAGTTGGGCCATATTGTCTAATAATTTTTATAGCCAAGTTTTTGGGATCAGGACGTGAGTTTGAATATTTGTTGTTATTTAAGGATTGTGCTGTTAGGAGGATGAAGTAATTTGGTTTTCCAGGCATACTAGAGGCATTGCCTATAAAACTGAATTTCCCATATGGAGAGAACAAATTTTCTATGTCTCACAAACATGCTGAAGTGTTCTGAGAATAAGTGCCTAGTGCATGTTTGGGGACTGGCCTTGATGCTACATGGTTAGTATGCTAATATTTCAAATTAGGAGTTAAAATTAGCAATGTGGCAGCAGTTTCACAGCGTGACTGTATCATCTTTGTATGACGTCAAACTAGAAAAGTGTACCATAGTTTTGCCAAGTGCAAAAATGTGAGTGCTTGTGCTTGTGTCACTGTGTTGGTTGGTTGGTTTGGTACCTCCATTGTCTTTTACCTTCACAGAAAAAGTAAAGGGTTAGTATGCACAAGGAAAGTCATCAATAGTAAATTGAATGTTATTGACTGAGCAAGCTACCAACTCACAGTCATCAGCAAAAAGGAGCTTGCTGATGAAGAAATCAGCCATATGTGTCTACAGACTGAACAATTTGCATCAGTAAGAAACTGAATAAATGTAGTTCTGCCAGTGGCACAAAGTGCTTCCCCCTGCACAACAGAAAGGAGATGTAAAGATGTATGGAAACTATTTATGATATTAAAAAGATCTTGCCATTTCCACCTATCTAACCATCATCTTATTACAGAGACTTAGATAAGTCAGAAAGAAAATTTGGAGGGCATTCATGGGGTTGCAAAAGCTTCAAGAGTCCCTTATAATTCACATTAACAAAAGCTTTAATTAGATCAATGGTCAGCAAGCAAAGACTGTAACTTGAACTGATACTATTTGAAGTGGATTGTGTGTATAGTGTTACTTTCTTAATAACGCCATGTGGAAGTTTTGGGAAGACAGATTACACAAAACAGAGTTTCAGTTGCTCAGTTTAGGTATGCTAGAATTTTCCTAGCATCAGAGAAGAGAAATGCCAGAATAATTTTCACAGTTTGCATCATGATTTTTTGTAATAGATATTGTTGGTGTCTTTGAATTGCTGTGAAATTGCCTCCTGCTTTCATATAATGTGAGAAGACCACGTGGTGTTCGTGCTGCTTTTTCAAATGTAATTTGCCATCATGTCTTTTCCAGGCCTGTATTGTACAAAGTCACCGAGTGTGCTGTTTCAATGTCAAGGCTTTGTAAAAGTCTTTCTCCATTTTTGACTGAAAAATTTGACAAGTCATCTTTGCTTTTTGAGCACAGGAGACTATAAATTTCAGTCTATGACAAATTTCTGTCATTCTCAGAACTGTGACTAAGGATATTTTATTTTACACTTCATACTGCTGAAGTATTGCATTAAGTTTGTTGAGCTTACACAGTGTAATGGGTGAAAAGATATGTGTGCTGTCACTCTCTTACCTATGCAAGAAGTATATAATACAGGTACAGAAACTGCATAGAGTAGGCTGATATTGACAAATACATGTTGGGTTTTGAGCTGTTTTATCTAGTAAATGGTATTGATTTCTCTGGATTCAATGCTACTCCAGAGTGCTTTTAGGAGTGATGATGGTTTTATGTTAATTTAAAATGTGTTTATACCATTTTGTGACTACATTCTGTGTTAGTGGACACCTGCTTCCATCATGTCCAATACAGTCTTGGGCATCTGTTCTATATGTAATTTGTGTGGCTAGCAAATCTCATTACCTGCAACTGCTGGTTTTCTGTTTGAGTTTTCAGCTGACAATCCCAAATTTGTGGCAATGCTTGAAGACAGAGGTATAGTTTCTGAAAATTGACAAGAGCTCAGGATAAGTTAGAGGAATTGGAGGGGAAAACAAAAGCAAGCAAGGTACTGGTTTTTAGACTGAGGAAATAGTCTGGGTTGGGTTTTTTTTTTACCACAATTACATAACTACCAGAACAAAAACAGAAAGACGGTTCATCTTACGAAGTCTCCAGATACAAAACCAAATGTAATTTTAATTCAGGCTGAAACAAACAAAATAAACAGAGTATATGTGGCACAACTTAAATAAAAGTATGTACCATACATATATGTTGAATGAAATAATAACCAGTCCAAAAACAAGTGATTAATAATTAATTTTTTAAAGTTTTTTTAAAACAAGTTTAAAGCTGTTGTAAAGCTTTTCTAACATCAGTTTGACAAATACAAATGCATTTATCGTTTATGTCAGACTTGTCTGATCTGTATAATTTTTCCCCAAAACGGTGTGAAGCAATTTGTCCATCTCTGTGTACCTTCAACAGAAGGCAATTGAAACAGTCTTTCAATCCTGTTACTGTATTTCTGGTGAGTTACTGATGATGTCCCTCCCAGATGCAGTAGAGTAACACACTATGACAATAATATGTAGATAAAATACAGTACAGAAACTGGCACTGTGCAAGTGATGGATAATCTGCTTGTGCGCATCATATTTAAATTACATCCTAACACCTTTTTGTACAGTATCTTTTCTACTGAAACAACAAATTAAAGGCATAGGTTAACTTGGCATTATCTCCAGAGTTCTCAGTCCTCTGTTAACCTACTCATATTTTTTTTATCATTTCCATTTCCCACTTCCTATTCTTTTAAATTCTTTCTGCAAACAAAACATCCTCACTGAGAATCAAACTCTCTTTCTTCTTCCGTTTCTTCTTTTACATTCCTCTTTTTTTTTTCTCTCCTTCTCCTCCTCCTTCTTCTCAGTTTTCTTCTCCGTTCTTCCTTTGCCATTTTTAGTGGAATTAAGAAATTATATAGACAAAATCTCAGAGACACTGACCAGCAAGATTTTTTTTTAAAGGAAAGCAGAGGAAAAGCACCAGGCAAAGAAATAGCAGAACATTGTTTGGTGAAATTCAGAATATATAGTTGTTATAATAAGCTGTTCTTATTATCAGGAGAAATAAGGACCATGCCTAGCTCCTACATAGCTATCAAGTGGCATTACACTTCTGCAACATACCAGAAATGGTAACATAATACACAAATCAGACATAAAATGGCATTCATTGTGATGCTTTTCATATTAGTATGGGTTTAAATGACTGGTACATGACTGTGTAAGTCAGCAGTTCTCAAATTGTGTGCTGTGGTCCATAAGAAGCCTCTTTAGCATTTAGTGCTGTTGTCCACCTGCCCTCCTCCAATCCTAACATGAAGATAGATGAAATACATTAAATACTTTTCAATAATACTGTACCAGTATTTTGCCAGCTCTTATATTTATTGTATTGTCCAGCTCTTGGTTGAACTGATTTGGCATATATTGTTAGTAATGGGAAGAGAGAGGAACATTTTATTAAGAAAAACCTTTTTGAGGCAGTTTGTAAACTTTCTAAGCAGGGTCACTGTCACCACAGCAACCACAGGAGCTGGACTTCACTCTTTAGACTCTTTGACTTTCATAAAAATTGCAGCTCGTGGTTCTGCCAGGGCACACCAGCCTGAGCACATGCCTTCTTCTGTGTTTCATGCTACTGCCACTTAGAAAGCATTATTTTGGAGCTCTGTATGGTTACCTTTTCTCCTTCTCTTTCAATGGGGGCAGTTTTGTCTGTTGTCTTTGCTTCTTTCTTCTGCCTTCTTGTTGGGAGAGTGGAGGCAATGACAGTACCACAATGAAGTGCTTGGCTGTGCCAGCAGCAATTAGCTGCTCAAATAGTTGCTTCTCTTCCCTAGAGAAAAGCCACTAAAGCAGATGAAAGCATCCTGTGGGCTAGACTTGATCCATGGACTACCTGTAGAACTTGTAGAACTCATTAGCATCTCCTCTATTGCTTATAGTCTGCTAGGTGTAAAGGTATATTTAATTTAATTTTAAATGTTATATTCCTTTAATGAGACAGACATTAGTTGCAATATATAGAGCAGTTTTGTCAAGGTAAAATGATGTAGGTCTTGGATATAAAGTGCTTGCTAGAGGGCTTAGTGGCATAAATATTTCTACTGCTAGAGAAAGCTGTAAGAAAGTCCACCAGTAAAAATCGAAGCTTATGCTAAGTAAGATCTTAAACACGTCTGTTTTCAAAAATAATAAAGTTTCATGATTTAATTTACAAACTGCAAAGAAAGCAAGGGCACTACATTTATGTAAAGATTCTACTTACCTATGTTTTATTTTTTCTGAAGACCGAAAGGCCGATTTCTGAGAACTTCAGTGAAAGTTAGGTGCAGGCTTCTGGAAGAATAATACTCCAGGATAGTAGTTAACTACCTTCTGAGGTGTTTCAAAAGATATTGGAGGGTTAAATGTTCAGCTTGTAGCTGTAACATTTAAACTTGAGCTTGGGAAATTTAAATTCAATAAACATCCTTGCTACGTTCTTTTCAGAAAACAAGCCTCATGCATTTTTATGTGCTTCTCTATTATTTAATATGCTACACCTTACTTAGATTTAGTCAAGAGTTCCGAAAGAAAATAAAAAATACAACTGGGATTGCTGTTAGATGTACTCTGCCAAATATTATTTTGCCCAGGTCATGTATAGGGTGCTATCATTAGTGTTCTGTGCTAGAAATTTTATTATTGTTTGAATTTTTTTTTTTTTTTTGGTTGTTTTGTGCCCTTTCTTATGACCTTGGGCCTCAATCAGCTCATTAAAAATTAAATTGCTAATTATAACCTGGCTTTGTTTTCCACTTTGATCAGAAAGCACAATAGGTTCCTTAAGTGGATTTACCCATAAAATATTCTGGTAATGAGAATAGAAAAAGCAAGTTTAATAACTTTAATATCAAAACAAAAGCTACAGAAATTCCACCAGAGGATAATAACAAAAAATTTATCTAACAAAAAGATAAAATTCCTTGAAATACCAAAAATTCCATTTTCTAGCTTATTAAATTAACATCTTTAACAATTTGAAGTAGGTATAATTTCCACTACTTCCATGGCTAATGCTCCTCTTCCATCAGCCTGAACATTACATTTAATTTGTGCTGCAATAACTTGAATTCAAAGGAGGAGTTAAAACTGTTTAAAAATCATAGAGAAAATTTGCTGAATGCTGTTAATTGCCCATGTTTTAACTGTTTTGCAGTTTTACTGTGTTCACTTATTACTTGCTACGCAGGAATACTTAGAGATTTTAGCTCATAGGCATTTCCTCACACAAAGATTTGGGAATGGGTGGTGGTAGAAAAATAACATAAAAATATTTGTAATGTGAAAGCACAAATCCACTTAGTCTAATCTCCTATTTCTCACAGGATCTAGGGGAAAGTATGAGTGTAGGAAAAAAATATATTGATACTTGTCCAGCATCTTAAGTGAGCTTTCTGTGACCTTTGGCACCAGTGATCTTTCTCTTTCCTGTATAGGCAACAATGATCTTAAAACGGAACATTCCCTTGTAAACATGAGTGTTTGATTTTTGTTTTTATTATTCTCTTTTCATTAGTCTTCTTTTGATTTATTATTCCCTTTTCATTAGTCTCCATTTCCAAAGGTTTCACTCATTCTGAAATGAGATCAAATCCCTGTAACTGAATGACCAGTTGCAAACCATGGAGGATGAACAGCTCAGCTATGGTTCTAAGTGATGAAAACACACAGGAAATGCTTGTAGTAAGAGGTGGAAAATAATTCATAATGGACAGAATTAATTTACAAGTACTATAAAAACCAAGAATCAGTCTTTCAAATGTAATTTTCACTTACTAGTTCTTAATGATTAAGGATCCAAAACAAATAATTGAGAATAACTTTGGGAAGGAACATGAAATCAATTTGTTCATACTAGCGAGCTAGCTTCTGAAAATTGAATTAAAATTAAACTTAGTACTTCTTTTAAATAAATACAGAAAGATGAAACATTTATTTTAGGATTTCATCATAACATTATAGCTATCAGGCAAGGGTTGGCAGCTTAATACAGGGTTTTCAAGCCTGGACTACCACATCTTGAGAAAATAAAGGAGCTTCAAAGATTGTCTCCCTCAAGAGAGGTCTTGAAATGAGATAAAGTAAATGGTGACTTGTCAACTCCAAATAAAATCCCTGAGCATGACCACATGTGGCAAAGGGCTGGAAAGAGATATTTTACTGCTCTTATAACTCACTTGTTTTTCAGTCGAGAAAAGAGTAAGATCTTTCCTTTTTTAATCACATTTGCATAGTTATAATTTTTTTTTAAAAAATATAATAAGCACAGATTGAAGATATAAATTAAAAGGCAATACTTTTCAAGAAGTTTACTGCTCTATATTGTTTTCCGATTTTTGGGAAATGTTGAAGGTGAGAATTTGTGTACTGTCATTCAGATCTTCTGAGTTGAGAACTTTACAAGAAAAGTTCAAGAGAGAAGAAAAATATTTTGCACATCTATTTGTCCTTCTTGTAAATCTCCTCATAACCGTCTAGAAAATGATTGAAAAGTTATTATTTTCTTTAAAGTATATTGTATTATAAAGGGTCTTTTCATGATAGATTGTATAATAAAGAGTCTTTTTATAAACAACTTATAAGTTCAACAAATTATTTAGGTTGAAAAATAAAGCTGCCTTGTGGATGGAGTGCATTAAGAGTCATCAGCACATTTTGAGAGCTCTGAAACTGTCTCTGGATATTAATACTTGGCTAAATTATTCAGTTTTGCAATCTGCTGTTCATATATATATTTAAATGAAGACATTTTCCTTGGAAAATCACAGTGGCCTAAATTGATCTCTGATTTCTGTAAATAGCTTGAATGTATTTCTCCACACGATGTGTACACTGTATGCAAAATAATTTTTATAATAAATATATTAGAAGCTTTCATGTGTACAAATATGAAGAATGGCAAAGATTTTTATATGTTCATATTATTTATGGTCCCAGTCTCTTTTATGAGTTATTTCCTATATGACAATGATTATGAACATGCTAGGATTTTTCAGTCTTAGGCTGAATGTTGTATTAAATAATTACTGTTCAAAACAATATGTTGATACAGGTCAGTGATTTAAAATAAACTTTAATCCATCATTAAAAACTGCACTTCATATGTATTTTATATAATGTAATGTTTTTAACTGTGTTCTTTATTCATTTTGAGTAGATCACTCCTTAAGGAAAAATTATTCTGTTCTCAAACTCTCCAGCCACTGCCATTCAAAAGTTATTAGACTAGTTTTAAAATTAGGAAACAATATCAGTAACTTAAGGATAAGAAGAAACAATAAGCAAAACCCTGGTAAAATCCAGGTGGCTCAAAACTAAGATATGTACATGAATATATAATAAAATTGATAGACATATGTGTATACATTCATATATGTACACATCCAAAGCTATATATATGTACATATACATGTATGCTTGTACACACAAAGTAGAAATATGCTTTAAATACATAAACAAATTAATAAAGGACATATATATTTTAAAAATATAAACCCATGACATAATTCTAAAGAATCTGAAGTATTTTTTCTGTGTATCTAAAAGAAACCTTTCCTACCTTGTCATGGGAAATATCTAGAACCACCTTTATGGTGTGGTCCATATATTCAATATCCTATAATAAGTGTGGTGCTTTGTTGACTACATTGGCTTTTCTTCTCATTGTTTAGGTTTTGCATATGAAACTGAAGGGTTTTTTTATATATTTCAAAGAATTAGCAGTATCTGCCAGTACTTAGATTGATTGCTTCTCACACAGAATTTGGGTTAACTTCCAGTAAAATATAACACTTCATAATGTCTTTGTTTCAGCTGACACTAAGGTATATGCTCACATGTATGCATGTATTCAGTCCATCCCAAATAAAACAGTGTATCTTATATTTAGTATCTGCAAAGCTTCTTTTGCTCAGGTATTTCCAACTTTCTCATTATTTTCAGCTATGCAATGGTTAGAACTTTGCATTTAATTTAACAGGAAAAAATATAAAATTACAAGTTCAGAATTATTTAGTTCCTAGTTAGTGCCTAGTGTGATTAAATAGGATTCTGGTCTGACTTTAGAAAAGTCATATTACCTTCATTACACGATTTGTAAACCAATCAGCTGTTCCACCTCCCTCCCCATCCCTCATCTTACAGAAGACTGAAATTGGTTTATTTCTTTTCATCTAGGAAGAGGAAGTAATCTAAAATTCTGTCCTGGTAAAACAAAACTACTCTTTTGGTATGAGGTTTGTACTTCATTACTTTTGAGATAAGCCTTTGAAAATTCTTTCTGCAGGTAGAATACCTTCACTTGACAGAGATAACATGCATTTCTAGTGTATCAGGTTGTTCTGAAAATACAAGTGGTTTGAAGTAACATCAGGGAAGGATTTGGTCTATTGAGTCAAATCAATTCCTGATTACTTTTCTTCTTGTGGAGACTACCCTGTTGTGTTGAAATATGTCCCTGCAATGCCATTCTGATTATCAACACACTGAAGAACCACTGGCTTGTTAGAGGGCAGATAGCTGAAGGACTGATAACTTTTCGCTCTTTCTCTTCCTCCATCTACAATCCTAATAATTGCCATTAAGCATCAAGACTCTGTATATGGAAGTGCCTTTATTATAGAAGCAACAATAGTTGCTTTCAGCTATTCTAACATCTGAAACTGGGGTTCACAGTTGTGTGGCTTTACTCTGATTGTTATCTAGATTGTTGTGCTTTTCCAAGTTGTTTCCTCTTCTCCTTTCTCCCCATTATGACACATTTATTCTGAATCTCCAGTGAGGCTGTGTGACTTTCTGCCATTCCTATTGCTTACAGAAAACATAAACATAACTATAGCTTTCAGCTTTCCCCATTATCCTCAAAATCATACAATAGAATTTAATGTTTAGTGGTTTTTTGCCATGTGCTTTATGTGTTATTTTTAAGCTTATCTATAATCACTGTCTACACTTTGTGGTAAAATATATCCAGAAAGATGCAACATGTTTAAAAGACAACCCCCATCATTCAGTAGAATCAAAATATCCTTTGGCAGAAAATAGTAGATTATACGTGATTTGTACATGACATTGTACTGGATGGATCGGAATGAGAGCCTTTTAATGTGGCACAAAAAATGCTGATAGCTAAGGTACCAGAAAGCACAAATTTTATTTTTTTTTAAATAAGAAAAATATTGCCTTTGTTACTTTTCAAGGTCAAAAACTTTTCAAGTGACCTCTAAGGAAAAACCATTAGAAGAGATTTAGGTTCTTGGAAAGACTTTCTC